GTAGTGGTGTAATCCAGGGAAGTGTATTAGGCCCACTCTTATTCATAATATATATAAACAGTATCTGTGAATGCTTCAGTGTAGGTAAACCAATACTATATGCAGATGACTTGAAAGTGACGTATAAATGCAAGAACACAGATCTTGAAATAACAGTAAGCGCCAGACAGCAAGAATTAGAAAAAATGGATAGATGGTGTGACACCTGGCAACTCCAATTTAATGTCGAAAAATGTGGCTGGCTCTGCATAGGTTGCAACAATTTAGAACTTGACCTGACAATTCAAGGCCATGCACTTCTACAACTGGAATCTGTACTGGACCTAGGGCTGAAATATTCACATAACTTATCATTTTCTGAACATATCTCCAAACAAGTGTCAAAGTCACGCAGACTTATCGGCTTTCTACTCTGGAACTTCTACAGAAATGAGTCTAGAATTCTATTGTACAAGGTTTGTGTGCGTCCTTTATTTGATTACTGTTCATTCATGTATAGTAGTATACGCATAGAGGACAAATTGAAAGTGGGGGGAATGCAGGGGTACTTCAGGTTAAAATTACTCGGAACCGAAAATGGTGCGAACTACTCCACTAGATGTGATACCCTAGGACTAGAAACACTATGGCTAAGACACCTGAGACTAAACTTAACACTTTACTATGAGCTTCTGAACCACTTAGTTTTTACCTCTACTAATGGCACTCGACTTTCAGATGACAATGGCTACAAACTAAGACACACTAAGGGTACAGTAGCTGTCGAACAATGTAAAACAGCCACCAGGCTAAAGTTTTACTTGATTAGGTATGCACAGATATGGATTTTGTAATCTTATTTAACAATCATTTATGACAACTCATCTCTTTTGTTGCTATCCTTTTATCAACATGCAATTCATTTGAACTTACTAACCGTATTTTGTTTGACAAATTTAATGTATACACACACACACAAAATAACCATATATATTTGCGATTGTACAGCTTTGAAAATGAATTCGCCGAAAAGAGACTCTTTGCTGAATTACTTGTGTTTTGTCTACTAATGTCCGAATGGGAATTATTCATGAGATATGGAATAAACTACCAATGGAAATGCGTCAAGCAAGTACATTGGCCTCCTTCAAAAAGGTGCTTAATGACAAACTACAAGAGTTTGCAAACGATAGTAGTTCTAGTTCCTATCTGAGAGCCTCCGAAATTATAGGTCAATTCAATGTATAAGCTTAAATACTACACCTGTTGTTTTTTGCCTATATTTATAATTCTAGATAAAACATTAACGCTTAAGATACGTATCCTCAAACAGACAAGAAATCTCGTTTGTGAAGCTACTACCCAACACAATAAGTGGGATAAAATGGACATAAACCGACAACATGAAAAAGGTATAACTCACCACAACACCACATGGACAGATGTACGCTCGTTGGGCACCATATATCCCTCACCAACTGCAACCAACCTTTCCTTAGATAATGTGATGAACTTATATCCATAATGTTGCTGAGCAGTTAATATTCTCAACTCCTGTCGGAACAGCTGAAATTCATAAACCTTCCTAACGCTAAGAAAATACCCACAAGCAGTAGAAATCCATTAATTAATGCGTCTGAAGCTTAGGTATTTCCTCCCAACAATGAAATTGCATATCAAATGAGATAAACATATCACTGATTTCAAAATAACACATCAATGAACTGTAATTCAAGGACTCTGCACACAACAAAGTTATGTACGAATATTTACTTCAAGCTTTATTTTTTCCCAGGCACTTATAATCCATCCACCAAAGACCTGGTTTTTTGTTAATGCGAAGACAACACTTCTGTATTTCCTGATGTGTTGCACTCACTGACAATCTAGCAGATTTTTCCAACTTTGCACAGAAATGATTGTATACAAGTGAAAAGGCTGTTTTATACTGCTGGGATTAACATTTATCAAGTGTATGTACAGTCTCCGTCGGTGGCGTCGGTGGCATAGCGGTTAGGACGCTCGCCGACCATGCACATGGTCTGGGGTTCGATCCCCGGCCGACGCACTCCTTTACCTCGCTTAGCCAGAAATAATGTTGGTGAAGAGGAAAGGTTGGGCATGAGGCTAGCAACTAGCTTGAAGCCCAATGTTCCACTGGGGAACGTGAAGGAAAAAAAGTAAAATCTCCAGCGAATATGTAAGGCATATCTTGCTACTGCCTGTAAATTGTGATTGAATTATATAGTTCTATTTTTGTAACAATTTGATGATGCCTGTAAACTGGCGTCCCTCATGTACTGTACTATGAGAATAAATTTATTTATTTTGATGGCTAAGAGGCCTGTCCTGTGTGGGGAGTGATATTTCGTAATAGTGACATAGTGGTCTTTGATTTTTAGATAGTATTTTCAGAGGGAGGGAAGCAGAGATCAGCATATTGATATAGGCTTCCAGTGTGAACAAGCGATAGGTGATGATAGGGTTGCACATCTGTTATCGTCTTCACAGAACATTTATAGAAAATTGTTAAAATTGACTGTTGGAATGAAATTCAAGCCCCTCGTTAACCTATCACTTAGTAAACAGCCCTCTAAGTTTCAAGAGAGTCTCAAAGGGAATTATTCCCGGACAGTGCATACATAGGTTTTATATTATAGTAACCTGTGAGTGGAAGTGAAATCTTCAGTAAGTTCGCTTGTCACTTTCTTGATTTTGATACTTCGCAGTATACATGCTCACTGAAGTACGTTAATCTTAGATCGCACACCGTAATAAATAAACAATTTTTTGGTGTGTGTGAAAGGATACCTGATCAAGCCTCCCCCTAGAAAATTCTGATAACTTGTGTTTAATCTGCAGTTCCCAATCGTATCTAACAGATTTCAAGCTTGCAGCACATGTGGTAATCGGCAGATAATCCGGGCATGAGACACGTTAGAAAGGCTTCGCGCTTCCTTAGACGTTATCCGTGAATGAAAAAATGCCATGTCAGAAATATGACGTGTCCTAGTGAGTATTAGGGAAAGCCAACTTTCTTTCACCTACGACTAAAGGGAATCCATGGCCAGTGACTCTCCATTATTGGGACGCCAGTAGTAGGAGATGGTGACCAAAAGAACTTATACCTCAGGTGTTTCCCAGCTCTCACACTTCTGGTATTTATGTAGCAACAATCCAGTTGTTTCTGTGCATGTAATCTCAAATCACGCTGTATCATCAATCAAGCCATATACATGCCTTGCACGATAACGGGCAGTCTACCGTGAAGTTTATCTACGGAGAAATCGCAGACCATCACAGAGGATTTTGAACACACACGGGAAGCAGGAATAATCAAATAATTAGACAACCGAATGCATGTACTCCTGAAAATATATGTAGGCTATTCCGGGCCATAGAACTGCAAATGCTAACAAGATCAGAGATCGCCCCGAGCGTCTTTGTGTTATGCGGCCTAACTGCTTACGTAAGTGCTGCATCTGTTCGGCAATCTTCATCTTCAGCCTGCCCTTCATTACTTGCCAATTAGTGTAGAAAACCTCCCGCATAAAGAGGCCGTGAAGTCTTTCATCCACTCAGTCTTCTTCACCTGGATTTCGCTAACTTCTATTTTGATTTCATTCTTATCACCACTATGGACGAATTTACCCGTAGTAACCAGTAATAGCTTCTTAAAAGGTTGATAAGCATTCAAATATATAATCACTACTGATGAGTGAAGGTTTACTCTTCATCACCAGACCCTTTTGATAGTGATTAGTGGGGATGGCACTCGTCTCCAGCATACGGAGACACAAATAACTTAGAATTATCCAATGCCATATGCCTCATTACTATGCTCGTGGTATGTGCAGTTATTTCTGCTGTTTTCTCCGTCAGTATGCGCAACTGATAGACGTTTCAAAGATGGGCGTGAAACCATGAATGTGACTCGGGGAGGTATAAAAGCATTTCAGAAAATCAATATTTCCATAGCATTAAGTTGGCATACCATGGCGTTGGATTCCACTCAAATTATTTGTTGATGCGACTGACGGGGCCATTGCAGCAGTTAACAGATGCCAGTCGGACAATTCTTGTCTTCTTTCCCAGAAATCTATCTACCATCTTTCTTCGCGAGATGGTAGTCATCTTCATTTCATCAAATAATTTCATCCTTTTATGAGAGACTGTTTGTCCTGCCAGTTTAATCGGTGACACACTTCTCAAATTTTCTTATATGCTACTACTCATAGCTGTTTGACGTATGATATATGTCGTCTGGGCAGAGTTTTGTGGTTCACGTCAGACATCCGATATAAGTGGTATAAATAACCCTGTGACAGACGGTGTTTGCGCAGCCACATCGCCTATTATAATAAAACTACAAAAGCAACCTTACTTCCTAGGTTTGATGGGGGTGTAAAAATATCGGTATTCTAAATAGTTGAGAATAATCCATCTACAGTTTGTAGTTAACGGGGAGTAAGGGCGCAGGAATGTTATCTCTTTGGAATTGGACAACAACAGTACATAGCTGAGAAAACAAGCTTGAAATTTCTATGTTGTGCACAAGAAACATATTTATAATTCCAAACAACCTCCGTCTTACTTACTTTTCCATTAATTGTGGTCTCACCATGGTTTCAGCATTCAATAATTCCGCATATCTTTTCTTTGATCTGATGCATTTAAAAAAGCTGACTCTCACTTCATCTTATTTATATTGTTGAATTTATTTTTAGTTATTTGCTTAGTTGGCCACCATGCTGACTATTTACTGTGTTCCTGAACCCCCGCACCTAATCCTTCTACTTATCACAAACATGAACCTCATAGAAATTAACCATCTCAGAAGAATTGAAAATGATGGAATGTCAGACGTTTAGAATCCGTGATAAATTTAAGACGAAAATGTTGTCGAAAGGTGAAAGTTTAAACATTTTGAGGATTGGAAACTTTAATCAGTGTTTTTCTTCATAAAAATATTTAAGCGCTAAGGACGACGTTAGCGTTACTTTGATTAATCACGGTTTGCGATGGCACTTACTTCTGCAGCTGGACTTGTTTCACTCTTGGATCACAAGGGTGCTGATGTTAAAGTAAATTATAATTAAATAAGTGTCTTATTTTGGCTGAAGGCATTTGCACTCAGACGCCTGGATGATATAGTTGATGAGTTTTGGGCTGAAATCTCAGAGGCTGTGATAAAAATCGAAATACTTCATGAAGATGCTAGCTTTGAGTACAACAAATTAGCGGCTCTACTTGCTTCGAAGGTTTATTACCATCTGGCTGAATACGATGATGCACTTCATTTTGCATTGTGTGCTGAAGAACTATTTGATATTAATGCAAATACTGAATTTGTGGAAACTATCATTGGTTAGTAAGATGTTTTAATCTAGCATTATCATTTAGCCAAGTGTATTGACAAATATACTAGTCTTCGAGTTGCACAAGATCAACCTGGAGATGCTACAGGATCAGCTTTGACACGTCAAGCTTCTGGGGACCGCTACTGGTCAGTAAGCAGTCCAACATATAAAAGATTAGAACACGTTGTCAATAAAATGTTCGACCGATGCTTTGAACACAAGCAGTATAAACAAGCCCTGGGAATTGCAATTGAAACCCGCAGGTATGTCAGATACTTCTTATCACGGTTATTTCATATGTATTTTACCATTATAAGTTTCCAGACCGTAGGTGTTACAAACTTCCTGGAATAATTTGAGCGCCGAGTCAGATTGATTCAATATAAATTATTTAAATTAGTCCCAGCGTGTTAAGAAAATCAAAACAAGATTTTTTTTCTTCAGCAGATTTAAATCTGCTGAAGAAGCTGTGGCTTATAATGTATTTCACCATTGTTTGTATTTCAAATACCAATTTCATGTTCCTAAACTTCAAAAGACGGTCCACTTACAAACAGTACGTATATATCTGTATTTTCAAGAAAAATAGTAGGCACACTTCGTCCTATTTGGAATAGGATCACTAAGTGGCACTGACATGCGACTGTACAACTATGATTTAGTGCATTGGACTTTAATATGATTTATCTTGTGTTATTATGAACTGTACGTAGCTGACGAGTCAGCTTTGTACGTAATTTCTAATCTGTAACCAAAAAAAAGTTATTCTTCGAGAAGTTGTGACAGCCGTTGGAGACTTAAGTATGTATGGGATATCCAAAATCAACGACATTTATGGTGTAGACTTCTTGTTTCCTCTACTGTTAGAGGAAGAACTGAACGACTAGTAATGTGTTTTAATTACTCAGGCACTTGTCTTCAGTCAATAGATATCAGTTTAGAATCCTGCTGCATCTGCTACAGCCTAAGTGACAGAGTAGTATCGTCAAACTTTTCACGATGTGTGGTCACAGTTTGGAACATGAAAGGTCAGTTCTAAGTGGCTGAGTTTGGATAGCAACAAAGTGATTAGTGATATTCATCTTTCTCACACTATGCTCTGTTATTCTCCCTTAATATACCACTTTATGTGGAGTATTTCTTGGAGTTTGGATGAACTGTAGTAGTAATACCTAAATTTAGTGGTTGGTAAAATACGTTAATGTTTTATTATCTTTCGGTTATGTAATATATCACATTTTATCAGTAATGGTCATTTTAAGATTAATGCTTCTAGATAGATATCCAATTTTTCATTTACACATTTAACTTTTTTGTTTCAGGTTGGATATATTCGAGAAAGCAATAGTTTCTTCTGACGATCAAGAAGGAATGCTTCGCTATGCTTTCCGTGTCGTACTAACTTTAATTGATAGTGTTCGCTTAAGAAACCGTCTTTTACGTATTCTGGTTTCGGTATATATGAATCGAGCTCTTCCATCGGATGCTGTCAATGTGTGCCAGTGTCTTGTTTTAATGGACGATCCTCAGGTTTGTTAATTCCACCTCTGTAGTCATTTGACAATGTACTCTTATTGATAAAATAGTAGGAACGATTTTCTTGGATAATATTTTAATATAGATAAATTCAGTATACATAGCTGCTTAAAGATGCCGAACTTCCACTTATTCGTGATATCTCAGTAAGCTGTTAGTACTTAAATTTCCCTTTGCTTTATTGATGGGGGAAGTAACGGTTGGTTGGATCTCCACCCGCCTCCATTATATCAAATGATTAGGATTGCTGATTGATGATATGAGTCACTTTTATGTTAAACTTGATTTGGTACATGTTTCTAACAGTTAGTTTGGTAATCTAAAGGTAGCTAGTATTTGAAAAGCTAACCTGATTCATCGCACTTTGAGGTGTTTGCGTCTCTAAAGACACAGAGTTTGGAAGATGTAGTAATCATCAGCATTTGGGGTCAGGGAGATCTAATATCAAATTTAAGTAATATGAGGGTGCTGTGAATAGTTTATTAGATACCAATGACAAATAGAAATATTGTTTACAGAATTCTTAGATAAACTTTCATCAGTAAGTATAAATTCTACCGGAATATTTTATTTAACCAGTAATGAAAAAAGTTTATACAGAATTCCCTGAATGGTTACTCTAGGAGGTGCTTTAAAACTGCTTCATTTGTCTCTTTTGAGCTTGTTTTACATCATCGTCGGGGCCAATGGAACTATCGATACATGCTTTGCTTTCACTTCTTGTGATTGGGCCGAGATTTATATCAACAACTGTCAGCGACTAGCAGCTATATAAAAAAAGCTTCAACAGCTGTTTGTCCGAGACTCCTAATAGATATAGACATTAGCGTATGACTATATGAGTTAATTAGTCTGCATATGAGCTGGCTGAAAATCAGTATGTCCTGTATGTTACTTCTCATCACTGAAGCTGCCCGGTTGATAACTGCTACCTTGACGTGGTGGTCGGGCTTGCATGGAGCGATGACCTGATGACCTACACTGGCTGAAAGTAATGTTTCTGAAGGTCCTACCAGAAGGGTCGTTTGGATATCAGTTAGACTATTAGCAGTTATCATCATAGTACAAGTCGTTTAAATTATGTTAGGGGTGGGGAAAGATGGTCCGTGGGGGATGTTATACTTCTGGTGAATAGGGATATAACAGCAGTAAGGTGTTTCCCTCAAGGTGACCAGGAAGCTGGGTATACTGCCTCTCCGCTCCGTCGACTCTGAAAATTGCACATCCCAGCTTACCTTGAGACGGTAACACCTTAATGAAGACAATTCCAGAAACCACTTCAAATAGACCATGTATAACTTGCTTTGCTTTACTTCGGCTATCTCCTACGGGAGGATGAGCCGGCTTCATGAACATCTCGAATCATCGCTGCCGAGGCGCTGCGATCTGATGCAAGGTTTTGCGACAGGGTTATCCGATTCTTGTTCCAGAGTTCATGAAGTTTCATGGGAATTTGGTACGAGTGATGTCCCCAGAATCGCTCGGCCTTTTGTTTGAGAGTGCAGCTCTAGCTTTTACACAACCAAGTGTGACCTACAAGGCAGTAGGAGTGGAGTAGGGAGTCCACTATCCATTGGCAGCCGGTGACCGGAGTTCGGCTCATACGCCTTTTTGAATGGGGCCAGACATCCAGGACATCCAACAAGCCCTTTGTCCATACGTCTGCCGGTGAGCTCCAGTGAGCTTCATACACCAGTCGTTGGAGGTTTGGAATCAGGGTTTAGCCATCTCCCCTAGACTGTCATCCAATGGACAGTCAACCCGGTGAAGAGCGCCGGGCATCCGCTTTCGCCCTCTCACTTTGGTGAAAAACACCTCCGCCACGTGAAGGCAGTGAGTAGGACTTCCTCAGGAGAGGCTATGTAAGACGCCTGGTCATATGGGAGCATTTCAAGAGGTGTGCGGAGGGGTGGCCAACCCGCAGCGCAAGGCACCCACCCCCGACCATCCTGAGGCTTTGGAGGCTGGTCCGGCGAGGCGGATTCGAACCACATCCCAGCTTACCTTGAGACGGTAACACCTTAATGAAGACACAATTCCAGAAACCACTTCAAATAGACCATGTATAACTGGCCTTAAGCAGTTGTCCCCTGGGTTTTTCAGCCACTAGTGCTCCTTCTGTTTCAGATATTTTAGACAAAATCAACTTCCACGGTATGGGCAGCCGGAAGGTTGTCACCGCCCACGCACTTCCACAAGTAAATGAAGCTTCGTGATCTAATCAGTCCCTGACGCTAACGTATTCCGAAAGAAATCATTTAGTTTCTTTTATGCAACTAAGACACAAACGTACTCTTGAGTTTTCAACCTTTCGGTATTCTTTTTTTAGTATTAAAGTATCGGATATGTCATGTAAGCTGTTGGTTACTAAAAATAAATTATTTCACCTTACTTTTTGTAGGCCACAGCAGATACGCTGGAACATCTGTTACTTCAGTCACAGGAGACAGCTGTAACCGCCTATCAAATCGGTTTTGATTTATATGAAAATGCTACACAAAACTTCCTTCAACGTGTTTCTGCTTCTCTGTCCCGTAGCTCTAAATTAAGTCATGTGATGGGTTTAATTGAAAAAGATAAAAACGCTGTGAAGGCATCATCGACAACGACGACGACAACGACAACAGCAGGTGAAACTTCTGCTGCTACTCCGACTGACACTGCAAGTGATGATAAAAAGAAGTCAGAAGCTAAGGAAGCTGAAGAGAAAACTGAATCTGTTAAAGCAAGCGAAGCAAGTAAAGAAACTGAAACACCTGCAGTTGAAATAATCTCTGATGTTGATAAGGAGATAAAGAAGCGTTTAATGCATCTTATCAGTATTCTTTCAGGCGACAAGGTAAGTGTATATATATATATATATATATATATATATATATATATGGATAAATATCTTCTTGCATTCTGACTTGGTTTTTGAATCCAGTTCATGTTTAAGAAACAGAATCTATCTTACTATTTCAGAATAATACTGACTTGATTTACAGCGTGTTAACAGTATACCTCTTGCCGTCCCTTATTTTTATGGTTGTGAACAAGTTTATAAGTCTTCCTGCTAAATTTCCTCTTCCTCTTAGGTCAATTTTTTTTTGAGGTAGTTCCAATGGGTATTTTCCACAATTTTTTTCTTTCATTCATGATTGTTTTGGTAGTATAACAACTAAGTTGCATAAAAGTTCTCTTTCGTTAGTCATATTCCTTTTGTGATAGCTTATGTAAGACTGACGGAATTAGTCAGCCTATCTGCCTCTCGGTTTTCAGCTAGTGGGTCTCGGGCTCAAATTTCCCTCTGCCTACTCTAGCCTGGGCAACTGAGTAGTACATCGACAACTCGGCACATGAAAAATCCTTTCCGTGTAATTGAGCTTAAACAACCTGCCTCTTACCGCCAATTACTAAGTAGCATTTAGAAACTTTGATGTTAGCTAAGTACTCGAGTGTGTAGAGGTCGAGCGTCTAAACATTAGGTATTTGCAGGTCAGATAACCGTGACCTATCTCTACAGTCTCGCATAGATCCTAGCCTATTCATAACTAGCATCGACTTCTGAATGATGATTGTATTAAGTCGAAATCTGTTGGTCATCACAACTCTTTAAGTGGAGTTCAGGAAGTCATTGCGATTTAATGATTCATTCACACTGCACTTTTGTTCTTTCTCTTTCTGAAATTAATATGAAGTAGTGAACGTCCCTTGAAATACTCCTGATAAGTATACTGTTTGTATTCTATGGTTCTTCAACTGTTTCACTTTTCTTTTATTTTATTATTTTGTGTATCACCTCTCTTACTAACTATTTTGTACCAAGTATGGGTTTTAAGTAAATAGAATAATGAATCCTATGGTAGCCTATAACACCATTTCTAAGAGGTTTAATATTTTGAGGCTTTTTGGAATTATCCCCACTAAGATTTGAGGACACAGAATTGCTTTTGAATGCTAAATATTTTCCCCGCAAGTCAGTTTTTATACCTGGATTTTCTGGCGAATAGTTTTGAGCATTCTGATTCAACAGCATTACTAAATATAACTATACAAATGTTCTGTTCTGTTGAACCTCGTTTCACTTAATCGAGCAATAATGAGATGATTATTATTATTATTGTCCCTTTGGGTTCCTAGTGGAACATAGGCTTCAACAACACATCTGCACTTTGTTCTATTTGGTGCTGTCCTCGTCAACTGGTTCCACGATTGTTCATGGTCTCTCATCTCCTCACACTCTTCTCCATGTCACCCTCGGATGCCCCACTCGTCGTTCCCCATTCGGGTTCCACTGGAGTGATGACCTGCATTGCGCGCGATATCATTCGATGACCTCCTCAGTGTGTGTCCGATCCATCTCTGTTTTCCTCCACTTATTTGTTGAGCAATAGGTTCTTGATCAGTTTATTCCCAGAGTTTCTTGCTGCTAATTCTTTCTGGCTGGGTAGTCATATCATCTTGAGTACGGAGCCGGCAAAGTGGGCAGCCGTGTTGGTAAAAGTCAGCAGTGGTCTGTTGGAAACGCTCTTCGTCATGCGTGTGTCAAGTTTCTTGGCCATTTGGACGAAGTGACTGGCTTCATATTGGTGTTGGAAATCAGAATTTTGTCCTTCATGCTGAGTGCAGTGATAGTATGTAGTTGCAGGTATTATTTTTCATATACTTATTTAAACACAAACTTGGGCACCTATAGATGTGCCACACAAAATCTGGGATGTTGCTCGAAAACCCACAATGAAGCAGGTGTCTGTCTTAATAGACCACCTCCGGACCTTTGACTAGAAGCCTAATCAACAAGACAATGGAGAAGCGTCAGAATCTATCTTCCTACAGTTGCCGGCGATCAAAATGGGTTCATATGCCATTCAATCCGTGCTCATTCTGGAGCGCAAATACATCATAGGTTCGAAATCAGGATTTTCCAGCTCCTCTAGGTAGACCATCATGTTCGGTTATAAGTGTCAGAAGTTCACAATTTGATAGTATTTCAATTTGACAGATTAGTTTTTCTATAGGTCGGCATCCATTTAAAAAATTTGGTTGTATGGAGTCAGTCATGTTAACGTTTTACGGTGGTGTCACATTCCTTGTTCGTTATTTCCCAATGTTAAACCCTTACTTTTTTAACGAATTTGTTTTTCTTGTAGAAACAAGTGAAACAAAACCTAATCACAATTATTATTATTTTTTTGGCGTTTTACATTAAGGTGATTGAGTTGCATCTGCAATTCTTAATACGCAACAATAAAGCTGATCTTCGGCTGCTGGAACGTATACGTGATGAAGTACGACACTCTGTGACGCATAATGCAACTGTTATCGCCAATGGAATTATGCATTGTGGAACTACATCAGATCAATTTTTACGTGATCACTTAAATTGGTTAGGCAAAGCTGTAAATTGGGCCAAGTTTACTGCTACTGCTACGCTTGGTGTTATACATAAAGGTGACATATACTTATCTTCTGTCGTGTGTGTTAAACTAATTGATATAATGCATCCATTTTTTCTCGGCAGTCAGATATATATATATATTTATATATATTACTGATTAGCAATAGTATTAGTAATTACACTAGTGATGAGTTTTTTTTAATGTATATTTTGCGAAGAACCAACATCTATTAAAGGACCATTGAACACTCAAGAGCACTGGGCGTATATTCCCTTCTAGCTTGGGATTCCTCAGCATTGCTCACCCACAACTCCACTGGGGATTGAACCCCGGGACCTTCAGGTCAAACTTTGTTGATCATAAGTTTATTTGTTTTTACTGTATGATTTATTTTGTTCTATACTTTCCTCTCCCCCCATATTAGGTCATGAGAAGGAGGCTTTACGTCTTATGTCTGCTTATCTACCCAAAGATGCAAGTGGTTCCTCAGGTTCAGTTTATACTGAAGGGGGTGGTTTATTCGCTCTTGGTTTAATTCATGCTAATCACGGTGGAACAATGACAGGCAAGTATACATCAAGACAGTTTCAGTTGTTTTTGTGATAGCGTTTTTGCTTTCAACCATTCTATATAATATTTTAATTATTCATATATCAGGTATTTTTGCTTCCAGAACTGTTTGTCACATAATGTCTTTCTTATTCTCAGAGATCTGCAAGCTGTTAATAGACTGTGTTCCATACGACTGACTAAATGAGTATTTGAAGGAGAACTTTGGAAAAAAGTACAGCGGTCCAGGTTGCCACACTCTATGTAGCACACAAAGGTGGAGAAAGAAGTTTGAATAGACTATAATAGATGGAAATCTGTAGGAGAAAGAATAAATAGGTAGAGGATAATGAGAATTTAATGGATCTTGGGGTGTGGGGATTACAAAGAGTGAATGCATTTGCATCATTGAGAACAGTTTTGAATCCTGTCGCCAACTGTCTCCATCCGATGGTTCTAAGAGTCTCAAGGACTCAAGTCACGTGGTTTTCGCTTCATTACGTGTCTCGAACCAACTGTCGAAGACTTCATGGGTTGATTTGACCATTTCTAACTCTTTCTTAACCTAATCCGATGTTTCATCGAGGTGTATTACCAGGAAGTATATCAATTACTTCAGCATGAGTGATGAGACCTTTCATTCGCTCATTTACTTACACAAGTTACTCTTTTTTGTTGATTTTGCTTCTGTTGTAAATTAGTTGTGCAGTAAATATTATTTTTGTTAATTATTATTATTATTATTTCATTGTTACTCATTTGGGTCTTATAATGTTAATAGGTGAAATAATTATCGGAACTACGTAACAAACCCTTTAGGACTGCATTTCTCTTAACTACATCCTGAGGGATTGTGGCCAATGGGGTGGTTATTTTAGATTCTTAGACTCTTGATTGAGTTACCGAAGACAACAGTCTAGGATTGTCGAATTGAAACGTTTGGACTTTTGTTTAGAGACCGGGACAATGTCACTAGTTTGATTGGTTTAATTTTGAAACTCCACCTAGGTATGGAACTCACTGATTTTTCGATTCATGTCAGTCGAACAGACAAAGTCTCCAAATGTAAATTTGTGGTGTACTTCATTAGCTTTGGAACTTTTCGTTACGTTTGGATGGATGGTGTGTTTGTGCACCTATCCGTAGCTATTGTGGTATAGGCGGTAAATGCTTGGCATTCATTACATGTCAGATCGTTGGGTTATATTTCTCTCACTGTGGTCCCTAATATGACATTTAAGAGATTTAGATAATTATGATTTCCACGTAGATCTCCTCAATACTACTTCGGATGTATGTGGTTGTTTATAGTCATTAACGCAGAAACCCATAGAGTTGCTTCACTATCAAACTGGTCCTTGCTACTTTTTGATATTTTAAATTGTTGAAAATCATCGTTTATGTTGGTTTTGGCACGTGTATTGTGTTGTTATAGATGTATATACATTTCCATGAATGCTGTGTGTATTGCTCTCAAAGTGCTCTCATGTGGCCACACGTTCACAGCTCCTGTCAGCTAAGTCCTATTCACTACCTTAACGCGGTGGTGTTCCTCATAGAAGTGCAAGGGCGAATGCGAACGTCTGGCGCTTACAATCGGACCGGTGGACATGTAGGTCTAGATACCTAGGGGAGCTGGGAAACCCTCCAAATATATGGTGTACATGGGTTCCAGAATCCGATTGGATCGAATGCCGTATGACCCTGTTTTGATAACCGAAAACCGTAGGAACGCAGGTCCAAACACCACTCCACTGCTTTGTGGGTCAGACTTAAAGTCAGGCTCGGAGGTTGGACCGTCCTGGCAGCATTCCAGCCCTCCCAAAAACTATGAAATTTTGTGTGGCGTAACTCCTGGCGTCCATGATGTGCCAAGTTTGTGTTCTAATAATAATAATAGTACTGTAAGCTTATTTCCTATCATTGGTATTGCTATTTTCAGAATATCTGCTTAATCAATGCAAAGAAGCTACTGCAGAACCTGTTCGTCATGGAGCTTGCTTAGGTCTTGGTTTAGCGGCTATGGGTACTGGCAGAGAGGATGTGTATGATCAAATCAAGCTCAATCTGTATCAAGATGATGCAATTACAGGTAAGTCTTCCCAGTTCACTTATTTTAATGTTTAATAGAGTTTTATCATACATATTGAGTAATAGTATGTCGAGAAATGATCTGAAAATTTTGGGTTATATATCTTTTTTACTGGGTTGAGGTTTATTTTAACTGAGATCTCACAATACCTCTGATCACGTGTTTAATGCTTAACTCAACATTAGCTGATTTCCTTTTACTCTGATCCCTTTTTATATGAATATATTTCAAGGTGAAGCAGCAGGGATTGGTATCGGTTTGGTTATGTTAGGCACTGGATCAACACGTGCTATTGAAGATTTACTTGGTTATGCTAAAGAAACAGCACATGAAAAGATTATACGTGGTGTTGCACTAGGCATTGCACTTGTTATGTATGGTCGAGTTGAAGAAGCCGATGAGCTGATTGATAATTTAATTGTTGTAAGTTTGCCTTTTTTGTTCTTTCTTTCCTTCAAACTATCTTTGTATTGAATAATTTAATTTGTGATATATAATGTAGATATATTGACATAAGTCTCGTTTCATTTTGCCTTAACAATGGAATATAAGGCTTCAAGCGTGAGTATTGAAGTTTCAGTGGTGGTGATGTGTTTGTACGGAGTTGGGTTGCTAGCCTGACTCCCAACCCTCCCTCTTTACTGGCTTTACTGCTGGCTAAGCGAAGATTAGGTGTGCCGTAGGCTTGGAACTGAACGCGGACTGCGTGCACGTGGTTAGCGAGCATTCTCCTAATGAACGGTTCACGCACAAAATGGTGTTTACCAAAAGATTGAGAACGTTTATCTGATTAACTGTTTACTCCTTGTATAGAACCTTCAGTGCGTTGGTGGCACAGCGGTAGAATGCTCGCCAACCACGCATATGGTTCGGGATGGATCCCCGGCTGATGCACTCCTTTCCCTCGCTAAGCCAGTACTAAGACTGGTAGAGAGGGAAGGTTTGGCGTGAGGCTAACAACCCAACCCCATAAAAAGGAAAAACACCATTGCTATGGAAGCTTCAAAGCTCTAGCATAACCAAGGAATAAAATAAAAAAAAATAAAAATATGTTTCGATCCGAAGACATAATTGACAGAATAAAACTAGAAGAAACACAGAAAAGTAGGTGCACTATGCTGGATAGAAATCCAGGTAACCAAGTAGCTTGAGCAGGCCTTCAGATTCTTTAATCTAATGCTTACCATTGACTGACTACAGGATTGAGTGTTTGTTTGGGCTGATTTATCCGGAATAGGTTTTTCATTTAGCAAACTAAGAGTCACACTTATCGTGTGAAGGCTGATGGTACTACTCAAAGTTGCCCATTCCTAAGTGGGCGTAACAAGAATCGAACCTGTGACCGATCGGCTGAAAACCAAGTGCCTAGCCTGACGAGCCCAATCTCCACGATACGGAGTTCCTGGAGTTCTAGTAAGAGGTCATGACCAGTAGGGTCCACGAAGTTGGGTGTAAGGAGTAATACCTACCAATAAAATTTACTGGTGGTTGCGCTGCTTATCGCGAATTGTCAGAAGTTAGAATTCACTGGTCACTGTATTCATTCCCGGTGATTGGATTAGTCAACAGCCTTCGTAACCAGAAGGTCCTGGGTTCGATCCCTGGTGGTGTTGTCAAGCGTGCTTATCTCTGAAGAGTTAGAAGCCAGAACGAAGTAGCTGTCCAGTACTCCTGGGTTTTTCAATAGTTCTGTAGCTTATGTCATTTTGCAGTCTAACTTAGACCTGATGAATGTTGACCAATAGTGATTCCCTCCTTACTTTTAATAGAAAACATTAGCATAAAGGTGCTTATAATTATACTTTAATTCAGCCATATTCATAATTAATATCTTTCGCACAATACAGGATAATGATCCTATTTTACGATGGTCTGGTATGGCAACAATAGCAATGGCTTATTGTGGTACTGGTAATAATCAAGCTGTGAAACGTTTACTTCACGCTGCTGTCAGTGATACGAATGATGATGTTCGACGATGGGCTGTTACAGCTCTTGGATTTGTTTTATTCAAGTATGTTGGATTGTTAAGATTTTAATCACAGTTCTTATTAGTTATTATTATCATCACTCACTTCTGTACTCAATGTTTAAAAAAAAATAAATCAAGCTATACACCTTCCAGAACCAAAAACAGTTGCCATGTGTATGTGTCATTAGCAAGCTTAAATTATCACTGACGTGTTGTGAAATGCATAGGGATTCGGCTGTACATCTCTGTTGTACTCTGCTTTCTGTTATCATTTTCATCGGACTCCATTAATGTCCACAAGCTTTCGATTCCTCATCTTTATATGAACTTCTCCATATCGCTCTTGGATGATGATGCACACCCAACTCGTCACTTTCCATTCAGGTCTGACATGTGATGTCACTTGAAAGTCTCCTCAGCGCGCGTATGCTCAATCTATCTCCATATTCCTTCTGAATATTTGTTGGGTCAGCCGTGGATTGTTGGCTACTTCACTATACTACCAGAGTTCTTTATACTATGCGGGCATCAAGAGATGGACTACACAAGAAGAATAAAACAACAATGTGAGGAAAATAGGAATAGAGTAGATGAGGGACAACATCGAGAAAAAAAGGTGGACGTACTTGTCAGAAGCACTCAAAGGATGCTTCATTATTATTATTATTATTATTATTATTATTATTATTATTTCCTTTAGTTCCTAGAGGAACATAGGGCTTCAGCCATGCGTCTCCATTGCGTTCGATTCTCTGCTAGAGTTTTCACCTGGCTCCAGGTCTGCCCACATGCTTTCATCTCCTCTTCACATGATCTCCTCCAGGTCACCCTTGGACGACCAACTCGCCGCTTCCCTTTCGGGTTCCACTCGAGGGCTTGTCTAGTGATGTCACTTGCTGGTTTCCTCAGAGTGTGGCCAATCCATCTCCATTTTTTCCTGCCTATTTGTTTCACAATGGGTTCCTGGTTGGTTCGCTCCCAGAGATCTTTGTTGCTGATCCTTTCCGGCCATCTGATCTTGAGTATTGAGCGAAGACATCTGTTAATGAAGGTCTGTAGCTTGTTTGAGGTGCTCTTTGTGACACGCCAAGTCTCTGATCCGTATAGTAGTACTGACTTCACATTGGAGTTGAAAATCCCGATCTTATTTTTGACGCTGAATGATGTTGTCCTCCACACAGACTTCAGAGTAATGAAAGCTTGCCTTGCTTTCCCGATCCTTGCTTTGATATCCTCGTCAGTTCCGCCTGTAGTTGAAACAATGCTTCCCAAGTAGGTAAAGGAGGTAGTTTCTTTCAGGTTTTTTCCATTTATGCTGATTGCTGTCTGTTGTTGTTGTTGGTGTTGGCCAGGGATCTTCATCACCTCTGTTTTTTCTATGTTCACCTGGAGTCCTATCTTTGATGCTTCTTCTGCCAACTTGTTACTTTTCACTTGCATATCTTCCAGTTTGTGGGAAATCAGGCATATATCATCGGCGAAGTCCAGATCCTCCAAGTTCTTTGTGTGAGTCCATTTTATGCCTGTTTCCTCATTGCCCGCTGTTTGTCGCATTATCCAGTCTACTGCAATCAGGAAAATCATTGGCGATAGTAGGCAACCCTGTCTTACTCCTGTCTTCACTTCGAAGGATTCCGTGAGCTTCCCGTTGTGGATTACTTGGCATGCAGCGTTGTCATACAACTGTTGGATGAGATGTATAATTGTCGGCGGCACCCCGTAGTAGCGAAGTAGTTGCCAAATCACCTCTCGATCGACGCTGTCGAAGGCCTTTTCAAAGTCGATGAAGTTGAGATAGAGAGGTGACTGCCATTCCAAACTTTGTTCAATGATGATCCGTAGTGTGGCGATTTGATCAATACATGACTTGTTACTCCTGAATCCAGCTTGTTCTGGTCGAAGTTTTTCATCCAAGGCTTGTTTGATCCTTTCCAGGATGATGCGGCTTAGTATTTTGCTTGGGATGGAAAGGAGCATAATTCCGCGCCAGTTCTTGCATTGACTTAAGTCTCCTTTCTTTGGTAGTTTGAATAGGTATCCTTTCTTCCAATCCTCGGGTACTTTGCCTTCTTTCCACACTTTCTCAAGTAGTGGCGTCATCAGGTCTGCTGTTGTCTCTGGGTCGACTTTCAATGCTTCTGCTGGGATTCCATCTGGTCCTGCTGCTTTCCCAGCTTTCAGCATCTTGATTGCCTTCAGGACTTCTGATTTCGTCGGGGGGTTGATGTTCACTGGTAATTCTGCTTCCGTTGTTGGTATTGTTGGGCGCGTTGTAGGTGGCGGTCGGTTTAGTAGTCTTTTGAAGTGTTCAGCCCAGTGTTTCCTTTGCTCCACTTCTTTGGTGATTGACTTTCCATTTTCATCCTTCACTGGCTTAATTTGTGACGAATTTTTGCCTGAAAGGTACCTAGTTGTTTGGTGAAGTGTTGCGAGGTCTCCTTTGCCTGCAGCTTGTTCTGCTTCATTGGCCATGGCTTCATAATACTTTCTTTTGTCTTCTCTGGCACTCTTCTTTACTCCTTTGTTCAGTGTATTGTAGCTTACATTCAACTCCTGTTTCTGTTGCTCGTCGGTGCACTGCAGAATTTTTTGTTTCACCATCCTTCTCTCCTCTATTAGCCTCCAAGTGTCCGTAGTGAGCCACGGTTTGTCCTGTCTCTTCTTTCTGCCCAGAACTTCCATGCAGGTTTCGCTCCATACTGTTTTCAGGTTGTTCCAGTGTTTTTCGACGCTGACCTCTTCACCAGTGTTGATTTGTGTCTCGGCTTTGTCCTTTATACTTGCAGTAAAGATATCCTTTGTATCCTGGTCCTTTAGTTTTTGAGTGTTGAACTTGGCTTGTGGTCTATCTGCAGCTCCTGTTTCTCTGAAAGCCTTTAATTTGAGTTGGATTGTTCCTTGTACGAGGTAGTGGTCTGAGCCAACGTCTGCTCCTCTTCTTGCTTTTGTGTCCAGTAGGCTGCGCCGCCACTTCCTCGAGATTGTGATGAAGTCAATTTGGTTTTTGGTTCGCCCATCTGGTGACACCCATGTAGCCTTGTGAATATCCTTGTGTTTGTATACGCTGCCACCAATCACTAGTTCATTGAAGGCGCAGAAGTCGGCGAAGAGTTCTCCATTTTCATTCATCTCTCCCAGAGCTTCTTTACCCATGATGAGTTCCCTTCCTGTGTTGTCTGGTCCCAGTTTGGCGTTCATGTCTCCCATTAGTATTTTGATGTCACCGGCTGGAGTATTGTCTATTGCTGCCTGCAGTTGTCTGTAGAATTCTTCTTTCTTTTCGAGGTCTGCGTTGTTGGTCGGTGCATAGCATTGTATAATTGACACTTTCCTTCCTTTGGAGTTGAATCTGGCGGTTATTATCCTGGGTGAGATCGCCTCCCATTGTATCAGAGCCTTGGTTGCCGTTGGTGACATCATTATAGCCACGCCCTCGGTGTGTGTGTGGTTGTCTTCTGGGTGACCGGAGTAAATCACTGACTCACCTGTTGACAATTTGGTGAGTCCGTATCCGTTCCATCTGCTTTCGCAGATCCCCAATACTTGTAGTCCGTATCTCCTCATTTCGCTTGCGATCTGGGCAGCTTTGCTAGTCTCGTACATGGTGCGGACATTCCATGTCCCCACACAGACTTTTTCTTTTGACGCAAGGAGACTGTTCACGCTGAAGTTTCTGTAGCAGGTTTGTTTACAGGGTGGGGTTGCTGGCCTCACGCCTGAGTTTAGTCTTTGGGTACCTGAAATAGAAGAAAGGTTAGTGTTGCGTGACCGCAGAGCCCAGGGGACATCTGCTTGAGGCCGGTCACACACGGCCTGGTGTGTCTCAGTAGCGTACTTATCACTTCTGCCCTGTGACACGGCAGCAGAAAGCGCGGTCGTTGTTAATCCGGGCCACGGCCGATCCGGCATGATATTTCTTGGATTCGTTTGGTTCATCGGGTTGGATTGTTGACGACTAAGTCCAGCCCCCACTGATACCGTCGCCAATGTATCAGTAGGTTGTGAGGTTTGACAAATTTGGTTGATGCCCGTTGCTACTATCAACGGAGCTACGCTAGGAACGGTGTGGCGACCCAAGTTATCTCCTACTGATACCGTCGCCACCGTCATATCAGTAGAAGTCCGGTTAAGCTGCCGGTCAGCCTCGGCTTCATTTTCAGCTCCCCGTTGTCGATAACATCGTGGATGAAATGAAAGAGCATGTACATCCTAAGAAACTCTAAAATAGCAGAATACATCCTGAAATTAAAGAAGCATAGCTCCGCAACCGTAAGTCCTACAGGGACGAGACAGGTACCAATTGGTTCGTCTCGTCGAGAGGAATCCAATGGTATATAAATCAGAGGGTAAAAGCTATTCCTAAGAAGAATACGAGGGTTTTCCTGCCTAGCAGTCTCTGCCCCCCTGCTGCCCTATGGTTGGTAATGCCCCCTAGCTACATACACAACGGCATACAACCTGAGGTCGCGGAGCTAAAAGATGTCAAGAGAACAGCCAGCGGCATGAACTCTAGGCCTAGAAACAGGTTTCCCCTGTAGCCTTTGAAAAAATTCCCTATTCGGCTGAGGAGAAGCTATAAGGTGTGAAACCGGTACCAATGGGTAGATTTCGTCGAGAGCTATCCATTGATATATAGCTTCCCTAAGTCCTAGCCTCCCTGGAAGGATGCTTCATTAATTCATGTTATATTCCAAAAAGGAAAGAAAGAAGGTAACTGCGACATGTTCGCCATTGATTACGATTCTTGACCATATCTGATAACGTCTCATGACACTGATTCGAATTATCTCTTGGGCTCTACCTAATCGAGTAGTGATACATCAACAGATGCTAACTTAACACAATTGTCCCTTATCCCACGGCACCATGTTATGGACTGATCAACCCTCCGCTTTTTCCACATAGTCCCTGAGCTAGCAAATAGCGTCTGGGACTACATTCGTAGCGCATGTCCAAGCCACTGAAGCGGATATTCCAAGATGACAAAACCTAATGAAAGACAATCTCTAGCGTGTCCAAACACGCCCTCGGGAACATGAGAATGACTTTAATGCTAATGCTACCAGATGCAAGTAATTCTATGGAGGCAGCAATGATGGGACACGCAGAGTTGAAAATTAAAAGTCTTACCGAAAACACAATATTTGTATTTCTCGTATCCTATTGCGAACTATCATTGTGTAATTCCGAAGACATTGATTATTCTTCTTCCCCTCCTGTAAACTAAATCTGAACAACAGTTCATACCTTTTGTCATAGTGTAACAACAGAAGGCAAGGGCCAGGCAACAGAACGTTTATTACGGAAAATCAACACGTATTTATAGATTTTGATGTACATTATTGTAGGTTAATGTTAGTAGAAAATACAGTCTGTTGATTGGTTGTTTCTCACACAAAGTTAACCTTGCATCTCTTGTGGCTGTGTCAGTTCTGTATCCGCCTGTCCATCTTGACCTTGACCTCAATTACTGTCAACCAATTTGGCCAGCAACCATCTCTCACCAAAACATGACTAATATTTGATACATAAACATTGACCTCAATTACTGTCAACAAATTGGCTAGTAGACAGCTCACCACAATAGTAGTGTGATTAGATTGTTGATAGGTAATGGAGATACAATTTATTGGCTTGTCCCAACTGAACTGCTCAAATCACATCTTTTATGGAACAAGTTAAGAACCACACTTTTTGCATGGGGGCTAATAATACCCAGTTGTCCAAGCTGAATTAAGTGAAGGGGGACTCGAACCGAAGGCCCTCTGGTTAACCATCTAGTCTTTACACCAAATGACCCACAGCTATTTTGGTTCCAACATTTGACTTTCAGCCAGCGGGTTTCGAATTCGAATCCCGTCCCATACTTTGTTCCTCTGATACAATTCTACGTGAACAATAATATTCCATCTCTATTTTGTTTTATGTCTTGTTTTAGAAACCCTGAACAAGTTCCATCATTAGTATCTCTACTTGTAGAGTCATATCATCCACATTTACGTTATGGTGCTGCTATGGCTGTTGGAATAGCTTGTGCAGGAACTGCACTCAAAGAAGCTGTCACTCTGTTAGAAACTTTACATGAAGGTACAGTACCTTTTGTGCGTCAAGGTGCTTTAATTGCTAATGCTATGGTATTAATTCAACAGAATGCAGTAACATGTCCGAAGGTATGTTCAATAAGGATGATAATTACAATGTTCTCTTGTGCTTTTTATAGTGTTTATCTATTCGTTTATACTTCTACGCCTCTTTTCTCGTTTTGTCGACGCGACTATCTATAAGGCGCGAATTTTTGGGACAACTTGAACTATCACAGTTATGCTGTATTAGTTATTTGGAGTAAATTATTTAATACTTTATGATTCTTATCATCTTATGGTTATGTGGACCTTAAGCGACTTTCAGTTTATACACTTATGAATCCCAACAGATAAAAGTTGAAATAGTATTCTGTCCACTACCTGTAGTAAAGGCTGGTGGTTAAGCTTAGTTATGGCAGTCCGTATTACTTTGTCCATGAATAATAAATTGTGTTCAAAACATTATTCAGTAAGTAATACTGTTTCACTGTGATGTCTAATAAAGGAACATTTGGTAGGTTGTGCTTTCCACTTTGGTATCTTTGAAGCAGCTGAGTAAAAGTAAGGCTTATTTAACAGCATTAAGACAATCAGCAAGACAGCTGTCCTGCCTCTGCGTATAGAGGAGAGGAAGGCTAGTAAAAGTCGACCCTACAAAGGGATCTGTAGCGGTAAGATAAGATTTTCATACCGATATAACTCCAAAAGGCCACTCCACTCTAATTCACACAGAACTTAGTTGTTAGTGGATTAAGTTAAATGACTTTCTAGAGGCGTGTTTAGCTTTGATAAATTATAATTATCGTTATTGCTAATTATCATTCGACGTAGCTATAAAAAACGATTATTATCCTGGGTTTCTAGTGGAACATAGGGCTTCTCTGAAGTCACATTTAGCTGGCTGTACAATTTCACATGGGCTTTCATTTCCTCTTCACACGATCTCTCTCGTGTCAACTGTCGATAAAAGTCTGCAGCGGCCTGTTCGACGAAATGCTTTTCATGATACGCCAAGTCTCTGAACCATATAGGAGAACTGATTTGACAGCGGTATTGAAAATCCAAATCTTGTTCTGTATGTTTAATGCAGCTGATTTTCATACTGATTTCAGACTAATAAAGTTCTTTGTTGCTTTTCGTGCATTGCCTTTCACATCCTTCTCTGTACCGCTTGTTGTTGGAACAATGCTGGTCATATAAGTGAAAGCCCTGCCGACAACTGCTACCTTGTCGTGGTGGTGGTCAGGCTTGAATACCGCTTTGACCCAATAGGTTACACTGGCTGGGATTTATGTCCCTGCAGGTCCTGCCATGTTAGGAAGATTGTTTAAACTAAAAGCAGTTATTATGGGGTACATAGGATCCAGAATCCAACCAGATCAAATGGCGTATATGGACCTGTATTGGTCACCGGCAACCATGGGAATGTAGCTCCTGACGCTGCTCAGCCGCCTTGCGGATTAGACTCCAAGTCAAAGGCTCGGGTGGGGGGGGGTGGTTCCTTAGGACAACCACTTGCTTTGGTCTAGGCGCCCGGGCAGTATCTCAGCCCTCACACAATCACAAATAAGTGAAAGAGATGACTTGTTTTTTTATTCCTCCCTTTGATAGTGTTTAGTGTTTGTTGTTGTTTTGTTGTTAATTGGGTATCTTCATCACCTCTGCTCAATTGGAGTTATGTCTTTGCTGTTTCTCCTGCCAACTTGTCGGTTTCCGTTCGTCGGTAGATTTTGGAGTTTGTGTTATACTGTTTCAGTTTGTTTATTTGATTTTTTATTCATTGAAACGAATGTTTTTTTGTCTTTTCTTCTTGTACATATTTACATTTATTATACATAGTCTGTAGATTTCCGTCAAAAATTATTGAAAATAATTGGTGATCGTCATGAAGATTTATTGGCGAAATTTGGTGCTATTATTGCCTGTGGTATATTAGACGCCGGTGGATGTAATATGACAATCTCTTTACAAACTCGTACAGGTATGTATGCATGTATGATGTATATATGTGTACCAGTATATTCCGAGGTGTTGTTTTATTCAACAAATAATCACGTAATTTTCAAGTATTTGGTTCCTTATTCCTTTACATTGCCAGTGGAACATAGGGCTCCAAGCTAGAGGTTTGAAGTTACGGGGTGGGGTTGCCATCCTCATGCCCAACCTTCCCTCTTTACCAGTTTTAATTACTGGCTTAGCAAGGTGAAGGAATACGTTGGTCGGGTATCGAACCCCGAACCACCTGCGTGATTGGCGAGCATTCTACCGCTGTGTCACCGACGCACAGGGATTTAATTGATTTCAAGACTATTATTCATGAATTTAGACTTCAGTTAGGGTAGCATTGTGTAAACCCAAGGCGGAAGTTCTGTTCTAGTTTATGTCTGTTCATCACCACGCACTCATGACCCCATGGGACTTTTCAGAAGTACACACACACACACACACTGCTCATCAGCAACTGACTATGGTATAGAATTCCTGGAGACCTGAGAAGTCATAACCAGTCCGGGACCATTTCGGTATCTACAACGGTCTCAGAAGTAGATGTGTTTGCTATAAATACTGAGTTTTCAAGTTGACATGTTGAAGTGTTATGTTTCAAGTTTTAACAACTGTTCGATTGTGAAACCTGTTTGTAATACGAAAGTGTTTCTCAGCCCAACAAACTTGACTGACTATAGAATTCAGTCTGCGTCAACACCAACGACTAGAAGCATGATATTGGTTACTGTCTAGCGTCCAATCAAAGTATCCATTGCAGTCCTACAGGAGCTTAATTGCCAGCTCGAATAGCTCAATGGTAAAGTCTCTGACTTCAACCCTGGGTGATACGGGTTTGAATATCAAATGGGGAGTAGGACATGAGTTCCTTGAAGGTCTCTGTTTAACGAGTGCCAAAAAGCACGAAACTGAGGTCTAGATAGAACTTGCTGCCGATTGCCTCCAGCCATCGAGCACATAAATCTGTCAGCCTTATGTTGTTAGCTTACAAAGTCGTTGAGGAGGCTTGGTTAATTTTTAGATATTACTTGGTATACTGTTTTATCAATTTAGCAGTATGTTTGTACAGCATGTTAGTTCTTTGTTAATTATAGTTTCTTTTGATGCATTTTTTGGTCCTCTTAGGTAATGCAAATATGGCAGCAGCTGTGGGCCTGTTAATTTTCCAAAACTTTTGGTTTTGGCATCCACTGACCAATTTTATTAGCTTGGCATTTACACCAACAGCTCTGATCGCTTTGAATAAAGATTTGAATATGCCGAAAATGCAGTTCCGTTCTAATGCTAAACCATCTGTTTTCGCTTATCCTCAACCATTGCGTAAGTTATATTTTTTTAAAAATTGCCAGAAGGTTCAACAAACCCATTATTGGAGCATAATTATTCCATTTGTGAAATGTGATTGTTTTTTTTTCCATTGCTTTTACGTCTCGAGTGAAACATAGGGCTTCAAACTTTTGAGATTTCAGTATCAGTATTCCTGCTTGATGAGGTGAAGCTGCCAACTTCATGGGTTTACCCGTCAGCTAGTAAACTAGGCTAGGTTTAGGAGTGAGTCGATGGGGAATGGAACCCGGACTAGCCGATGTGACCTGGCAAATATTCTACGATTGTTTCACCGACGCATTTGATAAAATCTGATAGTATTCTATAGATTTAATTTGTGTTACTCAGTTGCCGCATGCGTGAACCACACCTGTGGTTGTGAGGAATGAAGATAATACCCAACATTGTGGTTCGAGTAGGACATGGACTCATAACCCCATTGACTGATTCATCCGACGAAGCACAGAATCTCTGTGTATTGATTAGAGATGTTATAATGTAAACTTTTTCAAGATGCTGATTGCTTTCCAAACCTGTTACTATTCCCTTGGTTTCCTAGTGGAACATGTAGTTTCAGCAGTACATTTCCATTCCAATCTGTTTTCTTAAGTCCAATTTAACTGGCTCCACGATTGTCTATTCATTTCCTTCTCTCACACGAACAACATATCTTCACTTTGTTCTATTCTCTGCTGTCCTCTTCAGCTGGGTCCACAAATGCCTATACTCTTTGGTCTCCTCCATTTCACCCTTGGACGACCCACTCGTCGCTTCCCATTGGGATTCCACTCGAGCGACGGCCTGCATTGAGCTCGATTTCATTCAACCGCCTCCTCAATGTATGCCGAATCCATCTTTATTTTCTTCTACATATTTGTTGAGCGATCGGATTTCGGTCGGTTTGTTCCCAGGGTTTCTTGTTACTAATTGTTTCTGACCGGCTATTTGATGTTCAGTGATGGAGCCAGTGAAGGTGGCAGCTGCATATAAAAGTTTGTATTTTGTTGGAAATCCTTTTCTTGACACGCAGTGCAAGTTTATGAGCCTTATGGAAGAACTGACTGATTGATTGACTTCACATTTGTGTTGAAAATGCGAATCTTGTTGTTTATGCTGCTGAAGCGGAGTGCAGAAGATTTCCAAACTGGTTTCAGGTTGATGAAGGCGTATCTTGCCTTTCCGATTCTGGCCTGCTTTGACATCTTCATCCGTTCTGTTACCTGTAGTTGAAACGATGCTTCCTAGATAAGTGAAGGAGGTAACCTCTGGCAAATCTCTCCAGTTGATGATGATTGGTGCTGGTTGTTGTTGCTATTGCCTTTGGTTGGTTATCTTAATCACCTTCGTCTTCAACTTCTCTATGTTCACCTGGAGTCCTGTCTTGACTGGCGGCTTCTTCAGCCAGTTTGTTTGTTTTCACCTGTAAGTTTTCGAGTTTGTGTGATATTAGGCATAAATCATCCACATGCGAAATCCAGATCTTCTTGAGTTTTCTTGTCGGTCCAACGTATTCTTGTCTTCTCACCACCCACACACAGTCTGACACAGAACTCAGTCCACCACAATCAAGAATAAGATTCTTGGTGATAGTAGGTAGGCAGCCTTGTTTCACTTCTGTATTCTATGCTTTGTTCTGTGATGAATATGCGAATAGTTGCAATTCGATGATCAACACATGATTTGCCTTCCCTGAATTCAGGTTGTTCTTATCTGTGGGATGAAGTTCTGCATCCAGTGCATCTTTTATTCTCTCCAGGATGATGCTACTTAGTATTTTACTTGGCGTGGACTAGAGCATTATTCCACTCCAGTTCTTGCAGAGGTGTAACTAGGTCGCCCTTGTTTGGTAACTTGACAAGGTAGCCAAACCTTTTGCAATAATGGCGTGAGCACATCTGTCGTAGTTTCTGAGTCCGTTTTCAGCGCTTCGGGGTGAGGGAATTCCTTTGTGTTCCAAGTAAAACATAAGGCTCCAGACCTGAAGTCTCAGTAGCTGTGGTGTTTTGCTTTTCGTGGGGTGAGGTTGGCTAGCCGAACCTTCCCTCTTTCTTGGACCTATTATCAGCTAGTAAACTATACGCGGTCTAGGAGTGTGTCGGCCAGGAACGGAACCCCTGACCATAAGTACAGTTAGCGAGCATTCATTCCACCACTGAAACACAGATTTTTTGTACAAATCCACCAAGGGAAAAAAGAATTCTGTGACGTGTTTAATCTTGCTAGCGTGAGTTTAGACTAAAGCCATTATTCATTATAATAAAGGTTTTTGTATTTCCCAATGAATGAAAAACAAAACGATATTGTTTTTACTGACGTCTCGCTATTTAATGCTAATAGCTTTATCAAAGTATTAATAAACCGGAATTTACAAAATCTCAGCATAGATATATAACAAACAGTTAGGGGGTGACCACTGAGAAATCCTGTTGAACTACAAAGACTTGAAAAATCATCAGCCATAGGTCTACATGCTATAGAATCAGGCCACAAAATTGATTTTGACAATATTGAGATAATCATCCAGAGAAACTTCAGAAATCACAAAGAACGTCTAATATCAGAAGCACTTCATATCAAGTGGAATCAAAATTGCCTGAATAGGAATGATGGACTAAAAGAGAATTTGACCTGGTTACAACACCTCCCTCCCCTCCCCCATGAAGTGACAAAATCAACACGGATGTGATAAGCAAGTTCACTATGTAAACACACACTACTTTTATAATTTTACACACTGACCAAATCCAACAATCTACGCTTGGTTTTGTTATCTTAACAAATTGACCTACTTGACAACGAAAAATGACCCCAGACTGACGAACGATGATCAAGTTAGTAAACTTTATTTTGATATCATAACAGACATACTATTACTTTTGTTATTTGGTTTAGTCATCTTCATTGCTATTTTACTTTCAATATGTCCCTTTAACTTGACCTATGTCTATTTTCTCACCCCCTAACTGTTTGTTATATATCTATGCTGAGATTTTGTAAATTCCTGTTTATTAATACTTTGATAAAGCTATTAGCATTAAATAGCGAAACGTCAGTAAAAACAATATCGTTTTGTTTTTCATTCATTGGGAAATACAAAAACCTTTATTATAGAGAATATCATATACCCAATGCCCAAATTTTTTCAAACTGTTAAAAGTGAACTTGGTTTGGACATATAGAGCTATTATGCCTCACTGTGATGTGAAACACTTAAAAAAATGTATCAACATTGAAAGAGAAGGTGAATATCTCACCTTAGAATGTTTGTGTTTTGTTTTACTCTAATATACCTACTAACACTTCTGCTTATTTACTTACTTGTAATCCATATTTTAGAACAAGAAAAGGAGAAAAAACGTGAAAAAGTGGAGACAGCTATATTGAGTATTACAGCAAAACAACGCAAGAAAGAAGCTGACCGTAAACAACACAAAGAACAACAGCAGCAGCAACAACAGCCGCCAACCAGTGGAACACAAGCTCAACAACAAAAAGATACCCCAAGTAAAGAAGCAAAAATGGATGTGTAAGTCCCTTATGTGAGAAGAGCAGTTGTTTAAAATAATATATATATATTATAATATGGTTATTATTATGGAGATATATATTAGGCTTAGTTAATGGATTTAGCACCTTTGTCTTGCAACCAAATGGATCACAGATTTGTTTGAGCCCTGCTACATCACTCACTAGCCTTTGCGCACTATAAGCGTAACTCTGAGTCCCAGGTACATAACATTATCTGTTCCAGGTAATTGAGTTGAAACAAAAATATATTCATTCCTGTGTAATAGCTCCTTAAGTGAACTGAATTACTAATAACATATCTGAATTCCTCTATGATCCTGACGTCATTGTTACATGTGTCACTTGTTTCAAGCGATATGAAAACAATTGCAAAATAGGTTTTACTGGCCAACATGATTGCTTGAAAGGTGAATCTCCTAATTCAAAAACTGGATCCATCTGAATTCGACTAATACTGCAGTGTAATTCCTTCACAAAATCCACACAATGGCAGAACAAGTACACATTATTAAAGCGGCTGTAATTAGGGTCTTTGAAGAGAATATTCTGTTATTATTTTTTTTTTTACTTATTAGGTAGTTTTTATTTATGAAATGTTCTTTCTTAAGTATTTTGTCTTCACGATAAACCACTTCTTCATGATCCTGTTCTGTTCTAATGTGGTTGAAGATGTGTATCGCTTATCTAATAGCTCACATCTGCCTGTTTTTAGGTCCAACAGTCAGTATTTCTTAACTCAGGAATTAGCTCCATAAAAAATAGTATTTCAAATGGTTTTAAATTCACGATTAAATTTTCAAGTTATGTGATAATAGATAATCTCTTAAGCACTAGGCTTGGAGTTCACGGATTCCGGGTTGAAATCCCACTGGAAGTAGAAGTAGTAGTAGTATGGTGAGAGCTGGCTGCAAGCCAGAAATTGTAGACAGCAATTTACGTCAATGTTACGTCCCGAATCGGGGTCACGAGAAAAACAATAACAAAGCTTAACCTTGAGGAACTCGCCAACCAATCACAACAGACTTAACGTGTGCAAATAGGATTCGCAGATATATGGCTTAACTTTCTGAGAAATGGTCACAAGCAGTACAGAGTAACCTTCAGCAAGAAAACAACCAATCAGAAGAGGTTGTTTTTCTGCTGACAATAATGTACATAAAAATCTATAAATACCTCTTGATCTCAATAAACAAGCTGTTGCCTAGCACTTGTCTTCTGTCGTTACAGTAGTAGTACTATGAAACCCCAAGGAGTCAGGTGTGGTTCATAACTAAGTTTTTAAAAAGGATTGAATTTCATCTTCATTCAGTACATTTTGACTTATGAAAATGTATATGAACAATTGTAAATTGTTACCCTTAAAAGTCGTGGTGGATTTCATTGGATAGTATGAATATTTCATTGTTTCATTATTACTATAATTATTCATTCCATACGTTTTGAGTTGAATATTGGACTTCGGTGCACGACTGCATTGCTCGTGGTTTTGTGCTGTCACCTTCAGTCGGTTAACTTTCATTTCTCACTAGCTTTCATTTGCTTTTCATATGATTTGCTCTATTTGACCCTCGGACTCCCCCCCTCCCCCCAACTGATTGCTTCTCATTCAAGGTCCACTTGAGGGCCCGTTTCCCAACGTATTTATAATTCATCTCTATTTCTTCCTGCATATTTATTGAGCAGTAGGTTCTCTACCAGACTTCTTTATTGTTCATCCTTTCTGAATGACCATGTGATATCTTCAGTATTCATCCAGTGAATACGGGTGATGATGAAAGTCTTCAGCCTGTTGTGATTACAATTCTCTGAACCACATAGAAACACTGAGTTATTATTTTTTAATTATTCGAAAGAATCTCATTGATTGCATCCAACAAGTACCCAATCATTAAGAGGTGATGTCATTGTCATCTACTAAGGTATACTTGGGATAGAAAGTCCTGTTAGTGAATAATGTGTAACTTTTCCATTAGACGAAAATTGTGTCATCATTATGATTAGCATAAACTCCTGGCGCCCAGTAGTTAATTATTCATTCGATTTATCCGAAGATAAGAAACACCGTATGTATTTTATGGAATAAGAGGATCTCACTCAATAACTAATTTGCACCGATTGTGTGTGATGACTAACCAAACCTCGGCAGATGGAGAAAGAGATTCGAACCCATGATCCAGCGGTTAGAAGTTGAATGCCTAGATCATTGGGTCTCAGTTCCTCTTTTACGTTATGTCGTGGTATATTTTTATGGTTACCTTATACTCAAAAGCTTCTACAACTGTCTGGTTAGAGTAGATTGATTATATGTTGCATATTGATTTTTTTTCAGACTTTTCAGGGGAGAATGTGTATTCCAGGATTAACTTTAGGACTTATGGAATCACAATACTACTAATTAACTAACCGTCTAATGATTTCTAATTTACCGTATTCAACAACTTACAATTCCATACAGTTGGGAATGAGCCACACCTGTTATGTAAGGGCTAGTGATGCTACTTGACTACCAAAACCTCGGTAGGTGGTCTGTAGGGGTTTCGAGCCCTCCACTAGTTGGAAGTCGAGGGCCTAAATCAGTGAACCACGGTTTCATTGCAGCTCCAATAAAATGACTGATGATTAGGCATTAGAGGACAATGGAGCGTTAGATGATATAAAGAAATGAATATTTCTTCATGCATAGCTGGTACATCATCTTGATTTATTTGCTGTGAAGCTTCAAGGGAAAGTAACTCACTATCTAATTCAATTCCAACCCCACCTACTGTGTGAGAGGGCTAGTGATACTATCTGACTGCGTAAACCTCGGTAGGTAGAGAGTGCGTAGACCACTGAGCCACAGCTGCACTTTGATTGTACTTGCATAATTGATTCACCACTGTTCTACTTATTTAAACATTTCAATTACTCTTTATATGTATATCTCTATTAATATAGGGACACTACTCCGGAGGCCAGTAAAGAGGATAAACCAACAACAGCTACATCATCTACAGAGACAAAAGAAGAAAAGGTAAGTAAAGCGAAACCCATTTTGTATTTCATTCCCTTTTGCTTTTCGAGTGGAGCATAGAACTTCACGTTTTGAGCTTTGAAGTTTTTCAGTCAGTTTTCCAACTTTTCCAGGCCTACTATAGGCTAGTAAACTCGACGAAGTTTAAGAGTACGTCTGCCAGGAGTGGGACTTGGACCTTCCAGGTGGCTGGTGAACATTCTGCCACCGATGCACAGAACATAGCCTTAGTCTTTAGTCTTAACATCATATAGGCAGGTAACCTTTAAGTATGTTTCTATAAAGGATATTCCCAAACTAGGATAAAACAACTGTCCAGTACTCCAGTGCTGGTTTTCAATAGTTCTCTAACTGTAATATCAATCCGTGGTCAAACTCGAGAAACAAATCTAATCCTTACAAATCAACTCTTGAAAATTAATCTGACGCTCACTAGTGACTTGCTACAGGACGGAGTTTTCCGGAGTTCTAGTGAGATGTCGTGACCAGTGAGGTCCATCCAGTCCGGGAGTTAGGATGGAGTTCCCTCCGATGGTATTGGCTGATGGTTGTGCTAAAATCACGAATTGGTAGGAGTTAGAATTTATGGGCTCGCCAATGAATCGGGTCCCAGTGACTGAATGGTATACGAAGGTTCAGGAGGTCCTGGGTTCCAACCCTGGCGGTGGGTGCGTGCTGCCGATGATTCACAAACTAGGAGTATGAAAGGATATTTCTATTTTCTAGGTACATGACTTTCTATTAATTACTGTCTGCATCTAGTGTATGTATATATAAGTCAGTTGTTTTTTTTCTTCTGTTCAGTGAAGGTATTCTCCAGTTCAGAATGAAAATTTACGACAGTTCCTGTTGGAAATCAAAAGTTTTCCATAGCACCGTATGTAATTTGTTAAGTACCATACATAGAAGTCGAGAAAGCATACATATTTACTTGGTGATATATACTACTGATTAATATGAGTAGTTGGAGAGCAGTCATATGAAACCATTTAGTGCTTGCTAGTCTGGTCGAAGTGATTCAAACACCAAACGGTTCTTTTGTTCGTATGGGGCTAGGCTTATCGGCGGTGTATACCTGTTTAGACCTAGCTCAGATAATCGAATGAGTTTATAATACCCGAATTTTGGATAGCTACTTGGTTGTCCACACTGGTATTGCATAGAATTAGATTTACAGTTTACAAATTACACCCAATACGAGGTGGAAATTCACCACAGTTTCCTTTGGAAACCAAAAAAAAAACTCAGATAACAATGTCAAATCTGCTTGATTGTCGTAAATGACAGTTCAAAAAGCGGGTGGCAAGTCGGGATCTCAAACTGTGTTGTGTTGATTTGTAATCACATTGTTTTCAAGTAACTGATTGGACTTAGCAGACATTATTACATCAGTTTTTAAGTATTGGTTTGTAGGGTTTTGGTTTGATTGGTTGGAGGATTCAGTTAGAGAACCATTGGAAAACCTGGGTGTATTGGACAGCTGTTTCGTCCTAGTTTGGGACTTTTCATCAGTACGCACCCACCGCCAGGGTGGGTGTATTACATCAGACTGATATTTTCATACTTGAGAAAATCACAGCAATTGAGTCTTAACCCAATTGATTTTGGTTAATATCACTGAGATTTCTCAACCATAGAGAGTGTTCAGCATGACAAGGATTTAAGCCAAATCATACACAAGCTGTAAAATCACACATATATACAGTAAATTTTCTTAGCCACAATAGGAATGTTTTCAAAGATGTATCATTAAAATCATGAGTTTTTGATGACAATCACGTAATACAGTAAGCATTAACCTAGTAGAAACTAAAAGTTGCGTAATTAAATCGAGTGACAACATAGTTGAGCTCAGCTAAAGTAGAAGGAGGGAACCATGTGTCATAAGGAGTAGAAATGTAATAGTAGTAATAGTAGTAGTGAGGGATAATAATAATAAAACGTATCAATCGTTGAGATAAATTAGGTCCATTGTAGATTCATTGACTGGACAAATTTCTTCTGCATACAAAGCTCAGAAATTAACATTTGGATTGCTGTCTTCTGCGGTTTGTCAAAGTTCGATTTGTAACTCATTTGACAATGTCTCTGCGTACTGCGTAGTTGACTGTGAAGTTGGTTCGCCTGTTGGTTTAGTATCGATCAGATATCCCAGTATCCAGTTCCGTGGAGAGCTTCTTTCTTCTCTGTAAAATGTGATAGGGGTAAGTATCCCGATGATACGTTTCGATAGCGAATATTGAGTATGCATGATATAGTCGGCGTTTCTTTAACGCAAGTAGGGCTTTCTGTATTACGTAATCAAGTGGAGTTAAATATCAGTTACCGGAGAGGCGCAAACTCACCAGTGACTTTGAAATGCCGAGTCACCATGTTAGTGAAACCAGAAAAATAGCGCTATAGTCTTGGAAAAATATGCTCAATGAAGTGTAGCGATATTAAACGGGTAAGTTTTAGTTTACTTATGGTGATAAGTTAGGGCTAGATTTAGCTAATTATAGGGAGATATTAAGGTTGGTCCGAGATAGATTACGATTAGGTTAGGGATACATTAGGTCAAGGAAAAACCAGAGTTACGGTTAGAAGACCAAATTTACTCTTTCCCTGGTCATTGGTGCTTTCGCTCCTCCTCTGTGCCTAAATTTTAACTTCACCAGTAGTTGTTGTCTGAGACTTTAACGACACATATTTGGAAACATTCCTTCTACAGCTCAAGAATGGTATCGTTGATGAAGAAGACTAACTCTTTGCTGAATGCATCTTCCTTTATACGACTTAAGGAGGATTTTTTAAAATGTTTAAAAGAGATTTGAGTTATGTATGTCCAGAATAAACAATTTGATACTGAATTATATTCATCGTTATGATTTGATATACATTACTGAAAAGTTTTTCAGAATCTTGTATTCCTCTATGTTTTCTTTATTGTGTTTTTACTTAGGAGCCTAATTTCAGTCTGTTGAATAATCCAGCCAGAGTGATGCGTGCTCAACAAAGATACATAACTTTGCCTGAATCATCACGTTATACAACATTGAAACCAATTACTCAGGTATGTACTGAATTTCTTTTCCCTGTATAACTTCACTTCGATTTTTAACATCAAGAAGAAAGTACAGAGATTGGCTGTACGTGTATTATTATTATTATTAATATTCTCTTAGGTTCCGAGTGGAATATGGCGCTTCAAAAGTATATCTCCATTTCACTCTATTCCCTGCAGTCCTTCCCAGCGGGTTCCGTGACCACCCATAACCTTTCATCTCCACCTCACATAGTCTTCCTGCCTGTCACTCTTGAACTGATACCCAATTCTTCATTTCCCATTCGTTTCCCCACACCCTAGGACTTGGTGTGTCAGTCAATGATCTTCCCAGTGGGTGTCTAATTAATGCATCTCGATAGTTCCTTTGACATATTTATTAGGCGGTAGGTCCGTTGCCGCCACAGTTTCTTGTTGCTCTTATCCCTTTATCCTGGTGTTGACCATCTGATCTTCAGTGTGTGAAGCGAAGGTAACTGTTGATGAAAGTCTGAAGTCTGTTGGAAATACTGGCTTGACATTACTGTTAAACAAAAGCTCCAAGGTTTTTCTTTATGCTGGTCGCGTCAGATTTCTACACTGATTAGAGAATCATGATGGCCTGTTGTCTTGCTTTTCCAATCTTGCCTTTAACAGTCTCATCAGTTTTGCCTATAGTAGCGGTGAAGGGATGCTACTTAGATAGGTGAGTGGATTGAGTGCCTTTATCCATCATTCTGTCTTTTCTATGTTCATTTGAAGTCCTATCTTCATGTGTATGTGTGTATGTGATCTTGAATATAGGTTTTTCCACCAAGTAATTGTATTTCATTGAAGGTTTTGTTTGTGGCTTATGCTTGGTTTGATCATTCATTTTCTAGACGATGAGTTCCCGGGTTCGAGTGCCGCCGCACCAATCACTTCTTCTTGACAGACTAGGTAATGTGATCAGCCTTCATAGAATAAGATGCATAGCTCCACAACCTGACATATGTGAGAAGTCTATTGCACCTGATTGAAGTCGAACTAGATTCAGTTCTGTTTCATTCACAGATGCAATTTCGTATTATTAGATAACAAGTGAACGGGAATTGAATTTAGTGGGTCTGAGAGGTCAGAACGTGTGAAGACAGGCATCTGTGTCATTGAGAATAAGGATTTTGAGCCATCTATTTTTACTAATAGTTTCTGGTTACTGGTTCTAACAATTGTCTTAGAGACCTTAGCTATACACAGTCTACGCGCTGTTGATGTAAACTCTTTAATCAACTCAATTTATTGGTCTATTAAATATTATTTAGCAGTATTAGATGGTTGGAGGCAATCGGCAAGGAAGCCTTGCTTGACCTAGGTTTCGTGCTAGTTGGCACTCACCAGTCAGCAAGGCGTATCTGCAACCTCGAAGGAACTCATGTCTCTTCTGAGATTCAAACCCGCGTCACCCAGTGCTGCAGTCAGCGACGTTACCACTGATCTATTCAGGCCTCCTGTAGGACTGTATTGGATTCTTTGATTGGATACTAGTAACTAGTGTGATGTGTCTAGTCCTTTGTTTGGTGCAGACTGAATTCTTTCAATCAGGTTTTCAATGTAGCCACCATTCTAGGTAGCTCGCTATCACGGTGCACATCGATTTGCTGATACTAAATGGTTGGAGGCAATCGGCCAAAGGAAGCCCTAGACCTAGGTTTCGTGCTAGTTGGCACTCGTCAGCACCAAAGAAAAGACTAGACACATCATACTAGTTACTAGTATCCAATCAATGTATTCAATACAGCCTGAATAGCTCAGTGGTAACTTGTAGTAACTTGACTAGATTGCTCCCCCCCCCCAGGACATAACACTGTAACCAATTGGTCACTTGAAACTGTCTTCCACACTAAGATAGACACACAAATGTCGGACTGGGAAAAACGACAATGACTGAAACGACTCCAACACTATCTATTTATTGGATATAATACAAAACCTCAGAAATTTAAGCCATAAATAAACGAATCAAAACTATCGTATAAGGTTATCGTGTCAGTACATGCGCAAAATCATATCTTTCATGGCTAACAGAGAGAGAGAGGCTTGTTCGTCCTAACAGATAAATAAACAACTAACTGACCTGTAATATTAAGTTCAGTCGACTAATCTGTTTTTGTAAAGCTGATCTCTGCTGATTTCTGTCATGTCAATTTCTTTCCTAATTAATTATTCCTAGTCAATGAATGTTGTATTTACTATAGTTTTCTATCTTACTGTCTTAAAATTGCTTGCCAAAGTTAATCTTTTTAAATAATAATATTATTAAATTTTTTTTTCGAATTTTTTAGGGTGGAATATTGATGGTACAAGATAAACGTCCACAGGATGCTGAAGTATTAGTTGAAAATGTTCTAGGCCATGGGCCTACAAGTGATCGAACTGCAACTGGCAGTGGATCTGCTTCCGATGGTGCTGGTGGCCGATCTGATCTTGCCGCTGCTTTAGGTTCAGGTTCTGAATCGAAAACAGAATTAATTCATGCTTCAACTATTGGCGCTTATATTGACGATGAAGATGATAACGATGACGCAGACGCAGACGATGATGATGATGACGATGATGATGATGCAGAAGATGAAGAAGATGACGAAGAGGATTCATCGAGTGGAATGCATGAAGAAGATGAAGATGATGACGAAGATTTCGGTGTGAACTCCACCCCCGTTGCTGCTAACCTTCACGAGGCGGCGGAGGTTATGGCGTTGGTAGTAGCTAGAACAGCAGCGAATGATCATCCAATTAGAACCACCGATGTAGAAATGGCTGAAGGTGGTACAAGTAGTACAGAGGTTGTAGGGAAACGTGATAAAAGTCGTACTACAACAACACAGCCTCAAATCGTCGTAGTAGCCGATCACATGGATCCTCTGCACCGGAACCTAATCCACCTGAACCATTTTTATACATAGAAGAAGCTCCTGAATTCATAAATGTTCCTCATTCAGACACTAAGGAAACCAAATCAAGTAGTGGTAGTTCAACGAAGAATACGGATTCACAAGCTGCTGCTGCTACAACATCGACTACTAGTGGTGGTGCTAAGGCTGATGCTGATGCTGGTGCTGGTTCCACGACTAAGTCAGCACCCGCTGAGTCCACGTCCACCCAACCACCGACGGCAACTGAACCTATGGATGTGGATATGGTAGAAGCTGATAAAGCAGAAGAAGAAAAGAAAGCACAATCTGGAGCAGAAGATAAATCAAAAGATGACAAAAAATAAATAAATAAAATAAGATAAATAGTTCAGTGCATGTGAAAGTGTGTTTCTGTCTATTTATTTATTTATTCATTTTTTGGTTGCTTTATTCCTCCTTCCTTTTTATTATGTTTGTTCAATACCCATTCAGTTTTCTAATGCTGCAAATACACTTCTGTATTTTATAGAAAATATGCATACTCTACTTTTCTTTTCTCTTTCACTTTTGCTTTTCGACTTTCTGATCAGCAGCTGTTTGGGGTTCTTGTGTGTGCGTGTTTGTGTAGCTTGTGTCAAGAAAGGTGATTTTACTACAGTAAGATAATGAGTGGTTTGCTGTGTAAAGTTTGATTACTCAAAAGTGTATGTATCACAGTAAATATTCTATATCGTCGTCTGTAAAGAAATGCATACTAGGTGTTATACATTGTTATGTTTTATTATAGTCTCATAGTGCAGTTGTTTTTTTTTGTGTTGTGGCGTAACAACAGAAGACAAGGGCCAGGCAACAGATAGTTTATTAAGGAAATCAAGAGATATTTATATATTTTTATGTACACTATTATAGGTTATTGTTAGCAGCGTATACTGATTGATTGTTTTCTCGCTGAAAGTTAATCTGTCATCTCTTGATGGCCATTTATTTGAAGGTCACACCATATATCTGCGAATTGTATCCGCCCACGCAAAGTCTTTGTTCTTGTTTTTCTTATGACCAAGATTTGGTACGCAAACATTGAAGTAAATTTCTGTCTACCAATTTTGGCTGGCAGACAGCTCTCACCACAGTGGGACTGGCTGATTCGACTTCCCAATTAACTGAAGTGGTCAATACCGCCCAACTAGCACTTCACTCACTCCCCTATCTTTAAGCTAGGAGTAAGTCGATGTAGTCCAGTCCTATAGCATCATTTTACATTTGATAGGAGCGAATCGCATGCCAACACATTCAAAGATTGCTGCTTCATGAAGGTGTTCACAAGACTCTGCATTTTGTCAGCGTATTCCTTGCAACGTACGTTTCAATCGTCTATCCTAAGGATTAATTAGAGCGTCATTTTTCACCTCCAAGAAGAGTTTCTCATCGACAAATTCATTCACTTAGTAGTTATACAATCGCAATTATATATATATATATATATAATTGATTTTTTGTATGTGTTCATACATTGAAGTCTATGAAACAAGAATAAAACTTGGACGTATTGGGTTATTGTTTATGTAGTCATCAAAATAATTTTTCAAGAGTGTGATGAATAATCAAATTGTAATTACACGCGGAGCTGGGGAAAAGTAATAAGTTTTGACGAGGGTTACGCAACATGGATGCGTTCAGAAAAAAATTTAGGGTAACATGTGAGGAAGAGTAAGTGGAAGGTTAGTTAGTTAGGTTAGAAAATGATGGACGGTGCTAAATGTTACATACAGTTGAACTTGAAATTATACCCAAGGTAAAAAACAGGTGGCGAATAAGTTTCTTCTGTGTACATAAATCACGGTTTACTAATCTGAATCGCTAAAGTCTAGTCAATCCAAAGTATTATACAGAAGCTTGACGTTTTTGGAAGACTCTTTTGGAATATCTGGATATCTTGGAATGGATTCTCTTTGCATATTGAGTCACCTGTGTTGACTATATGTTCAATTATATCACTCCGTTATTGATTCACTGTAACCTCTTTTGTAGTCAAGTGGGTTAATTTTCTTTGACTATTTTAGAAAAAAAAACACGCGTAGAACGACCTGTATCTCTCCCTGCACAAGAGCAAGTGAATTGACAGATGCACATCGAAGTGATCAAATGCAATAGTTTGTCTTCAGAGTTGTTGAAGAACCTCTGGAGGCTAGCGAATACCAATCGTAATGTAGCAACAGAGAATATTCTTGTCAGGCTGTTAGATATTCTGTTCTTTAGGGTGTTGACTAGATGGTTGCCTTTGAACGCCACATTCGTAAATAGCATCTTCGGCACAAAGATGGGCTTTTTGTATTTATCTCTGATGCATCGGTGACAGTCATTCTCAAGTAGTAGTATCATCCTCGAAAAGATGGTCTCCTCATCTGCTGATTCAGATTTGCAGATTCTTCGGATCTTAGTCTGAAGGTTTTTGTATTGCGTAGCCCTAGTCAGGACTTACTGATTTCCCCCTCCATAGTTACAGTTTTGATGACGTGGGCAATAACCCAAACTAATTCTTATTCTTGTTTGAAAAACCTAATGTACGTACACAAAAAATAATTGTCTTTAATTGCGATTATACAGTTAAGTGAATGAATTCGTCGAAAAGATACTCTCCACTGAAGTGTTTGTTCTGGCATAATTTAAGTTGGAGGTGTTTAAAGTCTGTAGAGTTGTCTGATTATGTCATAACTTCCATTTGTGAAAATTGTTGTCTCCACACCAACAATACTATCTAATCTATTACAAAGTGTGATTAGATGTTTGATAAATTTTCTGATAACTATCTCGCTCTACATAAATCTCTGGATGCGCAACCATCTAAGAGCTGATTCCCTAAACTTGACCCCGGTGACGAGTCCCGAATAGGACGAATTGCGCATCATGGATTCCACTGCTAGCCACTATCCACCAAATTCACCTCACTCCAGTTAGTTTACTAACTCGTCGCTGGTAGTAAGCCAGGAAAAGAACCAAAAACTGTCAACTCCACTTGGTAAAAACAACAGCGTCACTTTTACTGGAATTTTAGAGCTTAAACTAATAAAAGAATAGAACTTGTGCACTGTGCTATAGCATTATTCCATTGTGGATAAAATTTATTTTGATTAAGTCTTACAGTGTTATACAGTAATATTTACTGATGACATTTCGAGCACATTTTATTGCTCAATCTTATCGAGGTACTCACACAACTTTCTAACTTCGTTTACATACTTCCATTATTTTTCATCGCTTGATTTGATTGGTATTAGTATTTCCCATATTTCCGGTATGAGTGATGGGTCATTCCTATTGCACGTGTTGGGTGTAGACTCGGTGAACAAGGATTCAGTAATCAACCTCTTTCTCCACCTATCTATATTACTTTTTAGAATTTTGACTGTCCCTCCTTATTGTGTGGGACAATAGGGTGGGAGAGGGTTGCGTAGTTATAATGGATACGATTATGAACAATAAATTGTGCTCGAAACGTCATGTGGTGAATATTGCTGTATAACAATGTAAGAATTTATCAAAATAAATATTGCCCACAATGGAATTAAACTCCTATATACACCGGAATGAGAAAAAGAATTGTTCCTTATAGTGAGATTAATCTTGCGCGTCATGGGGAGTGATTAGGAAAGCTTTGTGTGCTTGTGGAAGTAGTGCTTGGACAGTTATTATGTCCCGACCTCCTAAAGCTTGGAAGCTGATTTCTTTCTTAAAGTACTGAAGCAGCATTACGGTTTTGTGACTGCAGAGCTTAGGGAACAACTGCTTGAGACCGGCAACACATGGTATTTCGAGTTTTGTCGCCATTATGATTTTACTGCCAGTTACGGACCGCCATAAATTCAGCCGGGATGTACCGTTTCTAACTCGTCTCGCCCCACAGAGCTAACGGAGATCGTACTTGGTTTTTCTTGACATCTGAGGGAAGTGTCTTACTTCTGCAAAACACCCGGCAGGAAGTGTTTGCTAACAGAATCTAAATAAAATGTGAACGACTTAACACTATGGTTGGTAACTGCTTGTAGTTTAACCGCTATCCAAACAACTTTTGTGATATTTTTGGACCAACGGGAACGTCATTTCCAGGCAGTGTAGTCGGTGTCAGGTCATCCCAGTATGCAAGACTGACCACCACGTCGAGTTTGCAGCTATCGGTTTGGACATTGTGCGTACTTGGATGAAACAAGTTGTTTTTCTAGTGAATAATTTTTGAGCCAAAATGATTGTAGGTTTTCATTTGGATTGCATTACATTACTTTGCTAACATTATCTGTCCGGCACAAGGTTTTTGTTTTCATGTTATGATGAATGCAAGTTAGAAGTGTCTAAGCTGATAGTTTGCATCTCCCTTAATTCTAAGAAACTATGTGCTTGGTTATATGAGCATTTTAAACCCTTTTAGACGACCGATCATGGGCAATTCGGAGCACATATATCCGTAAACTTGATCAGACCATCATATTAAATTCTTTTATAAACAATAACAGCAGCTATAATGAAAATAATATAAATATAATAAAGAATTCAAAGCCTTGATAGTAAAGTGAAGGAACGTATGTGAAACGTATGGTACATAGCTAAATTTGGTATACCATATTCTCAACCTGCCATTTGCACATCATTTACCACATCCTTGACGAATTGGTCGAATATCGTCACATTTGATAGCTTCTTGGATTCTGCATCATATGGCAACATTCTTCTCGTGGTTCTCTTCTTTGATTGCTCTTTCCAGTGTGCCAAACACATTGTTACTTTTCTGAATTCGTTTCTGATATACTACTTATATCGGATTATAAGTAGCACTCACCACAGTATGAGGATATATATGAAATCAATAGATCCAGTTAAGAAAACTGATTTAGAAGATACATTCATAGAATTGAAAACACAATATATAAATAGTCTTTCCGAACACATCAGTTCTGTGGCAGACATCAATCAACTCACTTATTAGTTTAGATAGTGACGAAGAGAAGCTTCCAGGGTTAAATTGGATCATAAAAAAGTAAACAAGATGGGAAGTTGAACACTAGTGTTTTCAGCAAACCTACATATATTGAAACCGATACTAGGATTTCTGGTCATCCTACCACCGTACGTTAGTAAGAATAGGTTGACAAAAATAATTGCTTTATTCCAAACAGTATTTTTGGGGAAAATTTGGAATTTTCAGCATGTAAATAAAATATTGCACCTAATTTTCTTATTACAGGGGCAATAATTAAAATAAGCGGCATTTACATTAATAATATTGTTCAATAAGAAGTGAGCATAAAATTAAATCAAGTGAAAATATTAACGACAATGTAACAATGAGAACAGAAAAGCGCGGTAATGCACCTAG